CTAGCAGTTCGAAAGCATGCAAAAATGCAAGTAGAAAAATAGGAACCACCTTTGGTTGGAAAGTAGCAGTGTTCTGTGTGCCTTCGGCATTTAGTCATGCTGGCCACATGATCATGGAGACATCTTTGGACAGCGTTGGCTCTTTGGCTTTGAAATGGAGATGAGCACCGCCCCCTAGAGTCAGGGACTAGCATATATGTGCGAGGGAAACATGACTCACATGTTTACTTAGTATTTTATTTGATGCCATTGATAAACACTTTTTATTATTCACCCCTTGTGGAGAATTCTATGGAGAAAAGTTTGCTTGCTTTTGATATTGCCACTAAGAAAGATTTGGATCATAAAGAAGAAAAGGCTGCATTTTGCAGAAGTAATATGCTTAATATTCATAGATTTCACTCAATGATTTGTGCTTAGTTTAAACATTTTAATGTTTTATTTTTATCTTAGAATCTGCATACAAATCCTACTGCATGGCTTCTTAAGGCTGAAATTATTTTGTAAGGAAAATTAAAATTTTAATAGACTTTATACTTGTATGGGGCCTTAAGAAATCCTGGATACAAACCTGCGTGAAATAGCTATATAATGCCACGTGGCTAGGAAAGGCATAAAAACAATGCAAGCATACTTCATTGGGTCATCTTTTGAAAAAGGGACCCAGAATGCGTTATTAAAGTAGGTGGTGAGCTACCTGTGTCTTACACCATTCAGGTCTTAGGAAACCACAATTTGAAACTGCAGAAATTTTTTCCTGCAGTTTGAATGGCTTAAATGAAAATGTAACATTTTCTAAGTTTCTAGACAATTTGAAAAAAAAATATAGATATAGAAGTAGTTGATAAGATCAGGATGATAATGATAGAAAGTTATAAAATAAAAGTCACATGTTTCCAGCTCTTGAAAAATTGAGAATTTTTAATCCATACTTTACATGCTAACAGAACCCCCTGATTGCATCAAATTGTACTTAATAGGTAATTTATAAACATTTACTTGCGTACGCATGAGGACTCTTCAGTCAAAATTCTCTTCCAATCTGCGGTTATTTTATGGTATCTATCAAATATATTTGATATGTGCTGATATCCCATATACTTTTTTGTGATAAACAGGTTAAGGCAATGTTAAAACCTGCTCTTAAAAATGGGGGTGTCCATTCTTCAGGCAATTTAGTTGTTCCAGTTTGCAATTGCTTCTGTAATGTATAGTTTGTGGCATGAACTAAAATTCAAGACTTTTCCTTCCCTTCCATTTCCATCTGGTAACAAATCTCATTGTTTTTGTCACTTAAATTTACTTTATTTATTCCACTTTACAAGAACACTTGTTTTATCTATAACTTCCTTATATTTATTTATATTAATTCCACATCTTAACATGATATATCTTAGTTTATGTGAGCTAAGCCTTCAATCTTTCGACAACCTGATTTTCTTTGTCCACTCTTGCAATCTAAATATATATTATGAATGAAAATAATGTATTAAATAGGGTACAAGGCTGAATTATAGAAGGTTTTTGGCAACTGAATTTTATTTACTTGGGGATTTATAACTTTCCATGTGACTTATTTCCCTCGATCTTTAACTACATCACCTTCTGTTTAACTCATTGCTTGCTGTTACACATTCTGTAGTCTGTGATTAAAAAAAATAATTTTTGAGAGACTGCCTCATTAGAGACATTATTAAAATTCAAAAACCTCTCTGGAATTTCAGCTCCCTGGCAAGTTCTTTACCAAGCAGAGGTCATCAGATGAACGTGAAGTTAGATTATGTTACTTCATATTAGTATCCCTTCTCTATATCTTATATATATACTCTAAGGCATCTTGTGACTGTGACAACAGTCCAACATCCAATGTTATTTAGGATGCTTGTAGCCCTCCCATAAAGCTTGGATAATTCTCATTTTACTCCCACTTTAAGATTAACTTTTCTGAATTGTGGTTTCATTTTTTGAACTGAGTGCATCAAGCTATATTAGTTTCAACTTCAATTTCTGCACTGTTTTACTTCATGCAAATTTTTCAAGCTGCATTCTTTTTAAATACTGAAGCAAAATAACTGTAAAGATCATCTTCCAAAATACAATTTGGTAAATGCAAAACATGCTATGGCTCTCATGTCAATCTCTTGCATGCCAGTTCTTTCCTGAAATCATACTTCATTTAATACTCTTTAACATTACATATCTTTTTACATGTGGAATTCTTTTCTATTTATTTCTCCCATCTTTTTTCAAAATACGAGTTTCCACATTGCATAAATGCATTATTATTTGCTTTATATGCCACTTTTAATACAGACAAAACATACAAGATATTTTACTGTTGAATAGTGTACACAGATGGAAAAATAAAACTAAACACAGTATAAAAATATAAAAAATAATTAAAACTTAAAATTTAAAATTGTGTGTGTGTGTGTGTGTATTAGGCAGATTGTAAGAAAGAAATTCTCCTATAATCTATAATTGTACTATTGAGAACATTATCCTGAAGTTTCTTCTTTCTGATTGTTACAAGACGGAAAGAGTAAATCAAAGAATATCACACTATACTGGGCTTTATTTGTTCTTTAAAATCAACTATGCTATGAGCAGGCTTGAGTTTTATTTTTAACCATGTATATATTGGTTCATTAAAAAGCTCACAGCTCCTACCTGAGGAACAGATGGCAGCATGAAAGAAAGAGCAAGAACTTTGGTCTCAAAAATATATCACATATTCTGCACTTTTACATGATTGAGTTGCAACTTTAATTATATAAGTGTTTTGTAGTTTTGTAATGATTACTTCACTTTAATATTCTTTTTTCAAACAATTGTAGCAATATTTTCCAATATTAATTAACTATCCTCGTGTACTATTTCTGACACTTTGGCAGTTTATTGATCTGTATTATATAATGAGGGCAGCAACTATGTTGCATCAAACTTCAATTGGTAATGTTTTTAGGATGATATTGCTCTGGAATTTTGGCATTCCAGAAGTTCTTCAAAACCTAGTTATGTCATCATTGCTGAGCTGGCTATTCTTATTCTCTCTTTATCTAGGTTTGTCTATTGGTTTTTATAATATTTATCTTTTAATATTGATGCTTATATTTTTGTATTGATTGTTTCTTTACATGCATTGTTTTATCATATTGTTGTATGTCTCCCAGAGTCATTTTTGTGAGATGGGCAGCTATATACATTTGATTAATGAATAAATAACTAAATAATCAGGAGCCTCTCACAGGAGTTTTGAATTAAATTATTTTCAAACTCCACTAGATAACCAATGACAAAGAATAATTAGAATGAGGTCAACATTCTGGAAGGGGAAGGGTGCCTATTTCTGCTTTCCACTATAGAGTCAGGTAAATAACTTTATTGCTTTTCATGATAAACTAGTGTATTATGCCTAGTAATCTGTAGTTCCAGCCCAGAGTTTGAACATTGTGTCATTTGAGTTTTAATTAGAGAGTTTATTCATCCAGAAACATCCTATTTTAGCAGCCTCCAGGGGCACTACACAGACACAGAATATTGCCAATGGATGGTCAGATAAGCGAGTGATATGAGAGTGGCTGACAATAGCTACCTTTTATTTGTCTAAATTGTTTCAAAGGGGAGTTTTATT